CAACATAGTTTACAGTTTTAGTATACATGCAAAGGTTAGGTTACAAAGGGTAGACTAAAATAAATTTAGTTAGTATATCTAACCAAGACATCTGCAGGTCATGTAGATTATTGATCTAAATTTGTAATTAGAAAATATACTGACAGTTGGCTGGTATTAATACATACTCAAATTACTTTACTAAACTGTACAATTTAATATCTTTCTTAAATAATTAAGTTTTTTGTAATGGAATCTTCATCAGTGCCCTGCAGTGCATCGTAAGGGTGCTCGGGTATGTCGAATTTCTTGTGTTGTTATTTATTATATGATGTAAACGAGTAATATCAACATTAATAAAGACTAAATAATTTTCATCACACATAGTCTTTATAGTGATAGCATTTTGATGTAAAGTGCGCACAACCGAAAATCATGATCAGACTAATTTTAAGGCATTTAAAATAATATGTCAATATGTCAAAACCTACTCAATATGACTGGAATCGAAAATTATATGAAAGCTGTTGTACATGTAATTTCAGCACACAACTTTGTGTAAATCTCTTGCACAACTCAACTACCTATATTATGTATGCGCATTACGCACTAACAGTCCTGTAAAGTATTTGAGTAAAAGTATTTGAGTAAAAGTATTCAAATACTTTTTTAAGTATTGAATAACTTTTTAAATACTTTCAGCATGAAGTATTTTGAATGGTATTTTAAATACTTTTTTTTGTATTAAATACTTTTTGGTATTGAATACTTTGGTTTTTTATTTCGAACATTTTATTTTTATTCGAAATAATTTTAGAAATTTTAGAATGGATTAAGAACACAAAACAGGTAGTATCACCAATGGGTGGTTTCTTCCCTCAAAAAAAAATCATACGCAAATACCCTATGCACATTTGCTTATTGTTCTAGTTAAGAACCGATTGTAAATTTCATGTAAAAATAAAAAAAAAAAAATGTACCTAATAAACATTTATTTAATAAATAATAAATAAAAATGATTATAAATTTACTACCTATGTGTCTATATTACAATAATTAGAAACCCACTTTAAAAACCAAAAGTATTTGAAAAGTATTCCAAATACTTTTTCAAAGTATTTGAGTAGTATTTGAAATACTATACAATTAAAGTATTTGAGTAGTATCTTAAATACTTAAAAAAAAATGTATTTGAGTACTTACTCAAGTACTTTTCAAAAGTATTCTTTACAGGACTGCGCACTAAATACTAATGTTCTATAATATACCATTCCATCCATTTAGAACCTATTCGAGAACATGTTATAACTTATACCCTTTCATCTAATTTACTCAAATCGCCGATTATAATATATGTATAGACCGTTGAAACTTCGTATGAATTAATCTCGTGTTCGCGTTGTTCAAATCGTTTACTGCTTCGTACTCGTGGCTTCCGTGAGCCTTCCTACAACTTACAAGAACAGTATACACCGCACCCCAACTACATAACATTAATATTGGCAGTCGCACCCAATATAATACCATGTTTACTGTAGGTAGTTAAAGTTAATATTCTTTATAATAATATACAATAATGGTTGAGTTGATAAATCTGTATTGATTCTTGAAGTAATTTATAAATTATAAATGTTATTGTAGAAATATAGACTAGCAATAGGTCGGTGAGCCGTGATGAGGTAAGGCTTTCACGTAGAAGAATACCTAAATTTTTCTAAGGTGCAATAATTAATCAATCACTAACAAAGCAATAAGGCCGTAAGATACTCATTATAATATCCGCTGTTAAATTTCAAAAGCACTTTCTGCCTATAACATTTTAAGCCTGTTATGGAAATAATCCAATCGAATGTATGTATCGTAAATACAATAAATTAAAATATGTTATACTTTTATTAGTGTTAAAGCGTCGGTATCTAAATCATTGACTTGTATTTTTTTTAAATTATTATATGATTTTTTTCTGTTAGTATTTGTTGATTAAACCTACCTCAACTAAATTGTATGTAGTAGTATGTTTAGATATAATACGTTTGGTGAATAAATGAAATACCACTTGTCTTATGGTATAATCTTTTCATTAGGACCATGGATGCCGTGAAGGTATTCTGCAGGTATGTCATATTTCTGGCGGGCTTCTTAAACTACAATGTTATTAACGATTAAAATACTATAAATAAATCTGATTTTTCATAAGTGGACGTCACACACATATAATGTGTTATCTCCGTAGTCCGTTTATATAAATGTACAATACATAGCAAAAACTTTTTTGCTCTCTCTGTGTTTATACGTAGTAGAATTACCAAAATTCCACTATAACATGGTCGAGGGAACGTCCAGTTAAATATAAGATATCCAGGGAGAATCGTTGGATCCTATAAATACCATAGCCAGAGGCAGATATGTAGATCTCAGGACTCAGAATCTTAAATATATTTAAATGACTAGGATTCCATTTCAGTTATAATTATCTTTCATTGCCTATTAAAAACTTACAAATAATCATACTCACAATTAATAATATGCAAACAATGTTCTACTATACAATATGTAACTGTATCGTAGTCATACGGAGTCCAGTAGTCGTAGTGTGTATTAATATATTATTGTGTCGGTCAGTAGTTGATCGTAAACAGCTTTTCATGCGCTTAATTTATTAATTAATGATTTATATATTTTTTGAATATAATAAAACTAGTCGATCCTACGTAATCCGTTGCTCATAAAAAATGAAAACTTTAAAAAAATTGTGTTTGTTCAACTCCTTTTATTTGTAGCTCGCTGCAGTAAGTGCAACTCACTACTCTGCCACCATGGTAGGCAATGTGCGAAAATTATTTTGATGCATGCTTTTACTGGATCTTCCCGATTAACAAATGGCAACCAATATACAAAAAAAATGATTATTTCTACTAATTTTTTCTCCTATAACCAATAACGACTATTTATAAACAACAATATCCATCGTAAATCACATTTTCATGATTTGTACGTAATTTGTCAAGATTTGAACTTTAAATGCTTATAAAAAAAAATATTAACTGAATTTCTAATATTTTGCAAACGCCATTGTAACAATATACTAAGCTTTTTTACCAAATAGATATATATATTACCGTGACATATAAGATATATAATAGTACACTTTAGAAGTTTCAAGTACTCACGAATAACATTATTTAATCACAACAAAATAACTAAAATAGTTATTCTAGGTTTTTTAATATGTGATTTCGTCCAAATTTGAATTTAAAATGTCTGTAAAAAATAACTGTGTTCATATATTTTTTAGATTTTTTGGTTACAGTGTGAACTATTTATGAGAACCTTTATTTTAAATTTGCAATCCTTAGCTATAAAAACTGAACATTTTATAATTTATTAATTACAATGATTGATAATTTTCGAGATTTTGATAAATTTTGTCAAAATTCGATCTTTAAATGCTTATACAAAAAAACTGTGCCTATGGATTTTTAATATTTTTCAACTGATATTGTAACAATATATCAGGAGAATTGTATTAAATTTTTTCACTCTTTGGCCCAACAGATAAATTTTTATTGATATTTATAGAAAAAAAAACTAAAAGAAATTGAAAGCGGTAAATGTCCGTAAATAGCTCAAAAAGAGTCAAAATATTTTCAAAATTTAAGATGTATAGGAAATGCTAATTTAAACATTCAGTGAAATTTTCATATATCTACAATTATTCGTTTTTGAATTACAACAAAATAAGGAAATAGTTACATGGTAAATCGAGTGAATATCCAATGTTGTAAAAATTTGTATTTCAAACGCTCATTTCTTTTAGAGTTACACCAAAAACCAAAATCGATTTTCTCGAAAACAGATTTTGCGTAAAAATCCCCGTTTTTCCTTAATTTTTATGTTGTTTTTTCCGGCGCTTGTGAAAACTATTGACTCCCCTAAGTACCAACTAGATTCAATTTTCTATCAGAAAAGCTACTGTTGAAGAAAATCCAAGCACTTTTACTGTTCTTAAACGTGAGGACAGACACAAAAATAAAAAAAATTGATTCTATGAATTGATTCTATGAAATCTTCTTGAAAACAACTAGGGTGTAAAAACTGTGCGTCAGCTATTAATTCTTCAACGACTGGCCCAAATTTCACAATTTAGACCGGCCCAGGGGGATTTTTCCCCCTAGCCCCCCTGGCCAGTCCGCCCCTGGGGGGGGGGCGAAAAAATAATACACTTACCATAAATTCTGTTTTTTATATCACATCGTAAAAAAAAATTTACAATTTTGTGGCATCTTACCAGTTATCAGTCCTCCTTATCGCTGTTTAAGACTGCTAAATATAAAATGCAAATAAATGCATTAAAATGTTATACAAATTAGGCATTATCTAAATGAGCGGGGAGGGAGGGCTTCCTACCTATGTGCTTATTTTATCCAATATGTTAATATACAGATTACTGCAGGATAATTCACCAAACCGGCTCATTCCGTTTTTTTTCATTTAATAAATAAATATAAATTCATCCGAGTTCTGATTTGTTTAGATCGTATTTTCCAATTTCAAGATTTGTGATGTAAACTTTTGTTTTTCAAATAATAATCATTCTTTTTTTACTGTATATTATTTGGTGGGTATTTTGTTTGAAAATATTCGTATGCAATAGGCACAGACAGTCTACTTTGAATTTAATGATTTTAAATTAAAATTATAAAAATTCACTGTTACTTCTAAGTTCTGGCAATAAATATACCACGGGACAGGAGTACAAAAATATGCAAAACGAATAATATTTCTACTAATGTTTCTGCTGTAACTGTATTACTTGTTTTTTTGTTATTTCGTACAACTCAATTCGAACAACAGTGCTGCATAGCACTATTATAACAAATTTTTGTGTAATAATCCTAGCCCTATATATACCATATATCTAGCCTAAAATGTATTATAATGCATTTTAGTGTTATAATGATGTTTTCAGTATTTTAGGGATTTGCGTCGCCATATCGTCGATTGGTCATGTAATTGTTATCATGAGTTTAAGTTACTTAAACGGTCTCATGCTTCGTGTCTTACAATTTTGTATTGGAATGACAATGGTAAAAACAAGATTCTATTATTTGCAAAGTGTGACTCCATAGCACACAGAAATAAATAGTAACAGTTTTTATGCTTTATTGTCCTATACGACCTATAGGCAGTGGCGGATTTGTCAATTGACAGGGTTTGGACGTATTGGGTCCCACTGAATAAACAGTCAATACGCCACGTTCCAATGGTATTGTACTTGGTGATAATTGAAGAAGGATATCTCCGTGATACTATGGATAAGCTCCACAATGAACATTCGTCTTATACTTTAACTCTATTTATTGGTATGCTTAGTGCTTACAATGAAATCGTAAGACTGATCACTTGAATATCAGGATAATATAATATTTGCATAATAAATATACTAACATACTGCCTGTATAATGAATATATAATGTACTTAATTTTAGGTGTGATCGGATTGGCCTGGTACGTTTTGTGGTTGTACGTGATCAACGGAAATTATTCATTTTGGAGCCTGAGCCTCGATTTTATATTGTTTGGAGGTTTAAACAACTCGCGATATTCTTTTGGGACAAATGGCGAATCATTAAAACGATCAATCGTATCGGACATTCCGTAGAAATCGATTTGGACTTCTAAGCCGTTCCTTGCGATAGTCGTATTATACGTGTGTGATAATCGACTTTACCAATCATATTATCACAGTGATTTATACAGTAACGTATGTGTCTTCTTTAATACATTAACAAGTCATATTGTATTTCTGTTTTAACGAGATATCTGTTTTATAATATATTGCTGTCTTTTTTAATAAATTGATGACAACACAGGGCGTTTTCGAATGGACTATGAGAGATAACACTGTCGTTTTGTTGTTACTCTTCGTCGTCCTGGTCGAATTAGTTCCAGAAATTGCCTTGCCCATTTCCACTACCAACGTCAGAAAGATTTGGAGTTGCTCATATTTCGGTTCATTGGGAATTATTTTTTATTTTTTACTACCTAACCTACAAGTTTTTAAAAAAAAAAAAAGTTAATACTTTTCGAGATAATTAGAGTACCACTTAAATGGATCACCCTGTATACGACGGCCCGTGGGTTTCCAGCTACCCGAAACCTATCATTTTTGTCCAAAGGTCAACGATAAGAATTGTTTTGAGAAGTTAATTGATAAAAATAATCTCATTCATCGTACGTACACCAATACTCTAATTATATT